CCCATGACCGGTCTCAGACCAGGCCTCCTAGGTTGAAAAGGAAATATTACAGGACGAAGACTCGCATAAGAAAGTAAAGGTACCTGTATACCAAATGTATGTAGAAGTTTGGAAGATATACCTGTCATCTCAGAAACAAAGGATCAGTAATCCTGCTAGTGTAAAAAAATTATACTGTTTGTATATTCTTACTTATTCCCAAGAAATACTTCTCCATACCAGTAATGAGGTATACTAATACGTAGCTTGCTCAGGAGAGTTGAGAAGCTTCTTAACCCAGGATAATTAATTGAATTAAATCGATTCTATTTTGATACTGAAGCAATGTAAACTTCAGTGCCTCGTTTTAAATACTGAAGCAATGTAAACTTCAGTGCCCCGTTTTAAATACTGAAGCAATGTAAACTTCAGCGCCCCGTTTTAAAATACTGAAGCAATGTAAACTTCAGCGCCTCGTTTAAATACTGAAGCAATGTAAACTTCAGCGCCCTGTTTTAAATACTGAAGCAATGTAAACTTCAGTGCCCCGTTTTAAATACTGAAGCAATGTAAACTTCAGCGCCTCGTTTTAAATACTGAAGCAATGTAAACTTCAGCGCCTCGTTTTAAATACTGAAGCAATGTAAACTTCAGCGCCCTGTTTTAAATACTGAAGCAATGTAAACTTCAGTGCCGTTTTAAATACTGAAGCAATGTAAACTTCAGTGCCCTGTTTTAAATACTGAAGCAATGTAAACTTCAGTGCCTCGTTTTAAATACTGAAGCAATGTAAACTTCAGCGCCCTGTTTTAAATACTGAAGCAATGTAAACTTCAGCGCCTCGTTTTAAATACTGAAGCAATGTAAACTTCAGTGCCCTGTTTTAAATACTGAAGCAATGTAAACTTCAGTGCCGTTTTAAATACTGAAGCAATGTAAACTTCAGTGCCGTTTTAAATACTGAAGCAATGTAGACTTCAGCGCCCTGTTTCAAATACTGAAGCAATGTAAACTTCAGTGCCGTTTTAAATACTGAAGCAATGTAAACTTCAGTGCCCTGTTTTAAATACTGAAGCAATGTAAACTTCAGTGCCTCGTTTTAAATACTGAAGCAATGTAAACTTCAGCGCCCTGTTTTAAATACTGAAGCAATGTAAACTTCAGCGCCCTGTTTTAAATACTGAAGCAATGTAAACTTCAGCGCCTCGTTTTAAATACTGAAGCAATGTAAACTTCAGCGCCCTGTTTTAAATACTGAAGCAATGTAAACTTCAGCGCCCTGTTTTAAATACTGAAGCAATGTAAACTTCAGCGCCTCGTTTTAAATACTGAAGCAATGTAAACTTCAGCGCCCTGTTTTAAATACTGAAGCAATGTAAACTTCAGCGCCTTTTTTTAAATACTGAAGCAATGTAAACTTCAGCGCCCTGTTTTAAATACTGAAGCAATGTAAACTTCAGTGCCCCGTTTTAAATACTGAAGCAATGTAAACTTCAGCGCCTCGTTTTAAATACTGAAGCAATGTAAACTTCAGCGCCCTGTTTTAAATACTGAAGCAATGTAAACTTCAGTGCCGTTTTAAATACTGAAGCAATGTAAACTTCAGTGCCCCGTTTCAAATACTGAAGCAATGTAAACTTCAGCGCCCTGTTTCAAATACTGAAGCAATGTAAACTTCAGTGTTCACCTAAGTGATTTTTTAAGAACTCTGCAGAGGGTAAACTCCGGGGTAAGTGAGAAAGGCTGATTCCATTCACGGTATGACTTACATCTATTAATAATTCCATATTTAATAAAGCTATAATACGTTTACTCATGAGAAGGCATTGAGGGTTGTCCTCTCTTTACCTTTTCCCCGTAACTGGGAATGAAGTAATGTAGCCCAATGTTGCTTCAGCCTGTTCTAGACATTGCCTGTACCTATTTACTGCTAGGCGAACACAGGCAGCAGGTGTAAGAAGAGTTGCCCTTACATCTCAGCCTGCCTGGGAACCAACTAATAATATCAGAACTGTTAGCCACAGAGGGTTAATAACGTAGTATAAATCCAATATTATTTTCCTGTAAACAGCTCAATCCGCATGCGTCATTCAGCGCACGGAGTGATGGACGTTCAATACTCTTCACTAAGTGCAAGACAAAGATATCTAGCTGTACTAACCCAGTTGTGAGGATAACCCAAAAAATGTGGCTTATTTTTACTGGGATACGTAGGTCATTCGTCGAAATGCGACCCACATCAGTTGACAAACGGGGAAACAAGTGTTAGGAAGTTCTGAAATTTGAAGAACGTTTTGACCTTAGAAATCATTCACCACTTTTATCATTAAAATATAAATGCAAAACACACAAAAGAATACCCATAGTAAAAATGGAAACTAGTAACTTGCTATCAGAAATATTACAGGATTAAGTATGGAAGTTTTCAAAAGGAAATTGAACCACCACTTCCTCTTACTACTAAATCAGCCAGATACTGATGAATATGTGGGCCAGCAGGCCGCCAACAGCAACAGCCTAATTGAACAGAAAAGTATGGCCCCCAGGCCGGGCTGTGAGTATAGAAAAAATTCTGAAACTGGTCAAAGGAATATTACAAATAATAGCATGAACAAACAAGCAACGCATTTATCACACCAAGTTAAAGTAACCATCATCAGAATAATAATCCGCGAAAGAAAAATTATACTGGTAATCTCAAAGGACTTTTCTAAAAGTTCTCCGAGGTTTCTAAAAACAGCCCAGTAATTATAAAACCCACGAGATAAACGAAAACCCCGAAGCTTCGCCCAAGAGTGAACTCGGGGAACGAGAATCTCCTATATTATTTAACAACATAACGCAATTCGGGACTGAAGGTATACATTTTGGGTGTGCCCAGTTCCATTCTGTATACCTTGGAACTATTTCCTCTTAGTAAGCACCTCTTACTACAAGGGTACAGACCCGACCCCGTATTACTGTATCACGCACTCAGAAGTGACCTTAACGCGAGCTCTTTGTGAAGCCTTATTGGCCCTCCAATGTAACACATACACGTCTAAATTTGTAGCAAATGTCAACTCAAATCACTGTTGCCAGACAAGAGAGGGGCGTCCCCTGCCAGAGGAGACAGACGCCAGCCGTATTCATGGTCTGTTGGCTGCCTGCTGCTGTTGCATCTCCAACGCTGCCTTTCCTCCGTCTCAAGCTTTCTACTGCCCACTTTTTGCACAAACATCGTGCACCAAAATGCAAGTGGGACGGCCTTACAATTTTAGTTTTCTTCCCTTTTCATGTAAGATAGCGATTTGTTATCATTAACACGTGTAAACCTATGTTCATTGTAACATGCTGTGGTAGAGTTGTCACACACAGCAAAATAACTGGGAACAAAGTGTGAGAGGGAATGTGGGAGTGTGCATGACGCAAGAAGGTAAGCAGAGGCAGCCAAGCACAACGTCTGGGGTCCCAAGGATGTCTGTGTGGTGGGCGCCGTCTGTGTGATGGCGTGGCCTACCTCTTACTGCCAGGTACGCGGCGACCGGCAAGGTTACATCAACTCCACACGTTTGCAGCGACAACGCTACCGGGGTGGGAGTGGTGGTGGTATGTTAGTCAGGAAACAGGACAACTGTCTTTTGACACGGTTAGTCAAATTATGACCCGGAACTAGTTAAACATTAGTTAGTTTACGTGTGTGATAGTCCCGTGACAGATTTCAAGAGTTGTTCTACCCTCACAGCCCTCACCCTGGAGGCCAGGCTTATCTATTGATTGCTTCTTCAACCAGGCTGTTGCTGTTGGCGACCCGCTGGCCACATATTCCTCACAGCCTGGTTGATCTGTTACTCGGTAGAGGTAGTGGTTCAATTTTACATTTATACCAGCAATATTAGTTTTTTTTTTATATCTGCTGGTAGCAGGTTGATACAGCGAATGTTGATACAGTGTTCTCTTGTGCCCACGGCGCCCCTACTTTCACTGGGTTTATTCTACACTTACTCCCATATCTCTCACTCCTGTATATTGTTAAGGCAGTGTGTAGGTTTGGGACTAGGCCCTCCAGCAAACCTACGTTTTACACCCCATTAATTAGTAGTGCTCTTATATTTTATTCATTCCAAACCGGAGAAAGCGCTAAACCGGTAGTGGTCATAATGCGCCTGGGGAATGGGTGTCATTAAGATGCGACCCAAGAGGACTATAAATCCACTTTCATGGATCAAGTGCCCCTTACCAGCATCAGGGCACCTTTAAGAGGATTATTGTCCCAAGATAAAGATAGTCTCATGGGTAACCACTAAAATGTGGTTATCAGGGGTTAACCACATTCAACTATCCCTAGCCAGCTTATTCAGTGATACATTTGTCATCAGGAATTAACCAAACTTATTGTATGCCTGGCCAACTTATATATACACTAACCACATCAGTCATCAATGACTCAAGGTAAATATTATTCAAAATAAATGGAAGTCGAGTCAGACTGCAACACTGGCTCTTCTTGATTATTGATTTTTCCCCCAGCACGTGGATACACAGACCTAGGAACTACGTCCAAACGGGCTTAGCAAAACTGTACTTATATATACACCCATTACAAGTTAAATATCCATATATATATATATATATATATATATATATATATTATATATATATATATATATATATATATATATATATATATATATATATATATACGCACACAAGCGCCTTCAATGTTTCTAAATATGACTGTTAAACTAATAAATTTTAATTATTTTCGTATTTAACTGAAGTATCAGTGGTATGCAAGAGTACAGTGGCAATGACTTCCACACTTTAAATAATATATTCAGTGTAATGTTTCCCTTCACTCACCGAGACGACCTTGACAAAGTTCAAATTAATGATTTTACGCCAGCGAACTTAGGGTTCTGGACGCATTGGAATCTGCTGCCACGGACTTAGCGTGACTACATGTCGTACCAGAGCGTATATATACAACGTACCACAGGAGTTATACCCTAGCATTCTGCACATTTTTATGGACGACTTACCTGTTTGCGCTTGTAATTGGCACCAGATGGATCAAATTTATTTTTAAAGGTTTTAAGTTGTGCCTCGGCCTTCTCTAGAGGCAGGTGCTGATCCTTGGCTAGTAGGAGATAGGTGCGCCACTGTTCAGCTTCGAAGCCCCAGTGAATAGTCTGGTTCTCTAGTGCTCTGTGGGCGTGGCAGACGAAGCGGGCTGGAGGAAGGAGCCCATGGCACTCCTCACACTCAATACACGCTGCACCAGCACTCGTGTACAGCTCATCCCATACCAAACCTTTACACTTGCCGAAGCAGGTGTGGTACACACGTAGGTGTGGGTGTTCTTGCGGCTGTGACGGAGCCGGGGCGGGTGCACGGGTAGGGTGGGCGTGCAGCAGGGCTTGGGTCAGTCTCTGGGCGTCCGTGTTGGTAATGAGTCCACAGGACCTGGCAGTGTGTGGCAGGACGCCCGCAACACGCAGGGCGTCCAGCTGGGAGGGAGTACAACGAGAGCAGTAGATCCGCAGTTCATCACACACGGAGTTGATCTGTCCCAAGGAGAACTCTCGCAACACCGTGTTCAGGATCTGTGGCAGGCACAAACGCTTCTCCCCGCCCACGTTGAAGCAGGCGATAGGCTCCCCGTCGAGTAAAGTCTCCTCCCGTGTGGGTCCCGCCCCAGGGGAGCCTTTGTCGGCAGCAGCAAGCACTGGCCAGGGCTGTGGTGGAAAGGGAGCTGGGGCTAAGAACACCCCAGGCTCCACCCACGATCCTCCAACACAACCGCTACTGCTGGAGGTGCTGCTGGTGGTGGTGTTGGCGCATTTGGTGGCGCTGCAAGTATCGCTGCTGGTGCTCCGGACATTGGCAGTGGGAGAACTGATGGCAGTGCTGGGGGTATCTACAGGAACGTCTTTGACATCTGGCAGGCGAGGCTCCCTGGTGGGAGAAGTGGGCGTAAAGGTGGTGATCTGAGTGGTGGGCGTGTGGGTGGTGGGCGGAGTGGGTGTAGAAGCCCGCCTACAATCGCTATCATCCACACACCTCAGACATTTGTCCACAGTTTTGTTTTTGCGTGAGTCCTCGTAGAGGAGAGCCTTCTTGAAACTGAGCTCTTTGTAGATCTCATGTTTAGTGTGAGCATCCAGCAGTTTGATGGAAGGAGGTTCCTCATCATACTCCGCTAACTTTTTATTGAGGGCCGTGTCAGTGAGGTAAGAGTTAGGTCCTGGACCATGCAGACTGGTCATTGCTGCAGTTTGGTACGAGCGAAGCACGCGTTTCAGGTGCGGGCTGTAGTCCGGTGTCGCCATAAGGGCTGTTTAGTTTACACTGGGCACTTCATCAACTAACACAACATATCATCACTGCACTCACTGCGGTGTTGAGCCGCGACACGCGAGCATCATCCTCCTCCCGCGTCTAGTTGCTTACTGCTGCTTTTACTATTCTTTCCTCGCCGCTCCGTCTCGCGCACTGTTGCCACGTATACACTTCTCTTCGTTTCATAAACAAGTGAGACATTTAAAAATAATACATTGCCTCAACACTGCGCATTTATTACAAATATAACGAAGCAAACACACCATTAGCCTCATAATGGCAAATTCGTAAGTAATTTTGTATTCACATTTTGCAACCGGGGCACTCACATGTGTGCAAACTATCATCTGTACTCTAATATATTCTCTGCAGAATTAGTTACACTTTCAACATAATACACCAGCATATGATACTCTAGTTACCTCAGCATCACCATTAAGCACGCAAATGAGCTAGAAATTAATGTTATAGAGAAAATAGAAGAGAGGGAATGCAAGGTCCACGTCCTGGCTTGCCAGACGCTGCCTGTGTCTGCCTGGCCAACACACAACACTAACCCTTATTTCTCTTTCTTCCACGTTCACCAATTTCCCTTCAACGTGTTGATCAAGTGCAATACACGGGCGATTGACCTCCACATAAAAATCTCGGTGAAGATGGGAAAGATACGGGAATTCCAAAATAGCCCAGGAGGATAAATATATACAAGGTGGTGAGTCACATTGGCCGTCATAATACAGCGGCGTGATAGTCTGGCGGCAGCCTCACCTACCTACTATTATTACGTACAATGTCTGACATTCTTCTGCTTTACGTATACGCTCACTATAATTCTCCTTGATAGTACTTCTGTAATAAGTTCAAGTCACTCACGTCTCTTGGCATTATTTTTTATGGGTTCTTGTATATATTGTATAAATACAAGCACTCCTGTGCAGCTATAATAATCTGCATGATGTGTTTGAGTATTATTATTATTATTATTATTATTATTATTATTATTATTATTATTATTACTGTTAATAATAATAATAATAATATTGTTATATTCATGGACGGAGTTTTAAGCCTATCGACTACGCTAAGGTTATTAAGGCCGACGTTTTCACCTCCACACAAGTATATTTTAATCCCCAAATTAGGGATTAAACTGTTCATCTTATATACTCTAAGAGCCTCACACTTCTCTATGTACATGCTGTCTATATTCACAGAGAAGCACTACCCCGCGAGGGTCACAAAGATTTGATCCGGGAAAAGGGAAGGGTAACTTATTTTTGTCCAGCAGTCCCTCCACCAGCATCAAGGGCGCCCCCGCCCACACTCATATTTCATCACATAGGATTGTTTCCATGTCATACTTCACATAGGATTGTTTCCATGTCATACTTCACATAGGATTGTTTCCATGTCATACTTCACATAGGATTGTTTCCATGTCATACTTCACATAGGATTGTTTCCATGTCATACTTCACATAGGATTGTTTCCATGTCATACTTCACATAGGATTGTTTCCATGTCATACTTCACATAGGATTGTTTCCATGTCATACTTCACATAGGATTGTTTCCATGTCATACTTCACATAGGATTGTTTTCATGTAATTATTCATCACAGAGGATTGTTTCCATGCCTTACTTCATCACATAGAATAGTTTCCATAAAGAACAAAGAGGCACAATACTGTGACTGGAACAATACACAAATAACCTGCACATACGAGAAATAAACTTTATGACGACGTTTCGGTCTGGCTTGGACCATTAACAGGTTTCATTATTATACTTCATCATATAAGACAGTTTCCTTGTTATACACCATTGTTTCCCTGTCATCATAATATAAGATTGTTTTCCTGTCATACATCATTAAATTTTATTGTTTGTCATACTTCATGCCTAGTCAAGGACCGGACCGCGGGGGCGTTGACCCCCGGAACACCTTTCAGGTAAGTAGACTCCAGGCAGACCACATAGGATTGTTTCCATGTCACACAGGATTGTTTAAATTTCGTATGTCATCACATAAGATTGTTTCCCTGCCATACTCCATCACACAAGACTGTTTCCCTGCCATACTCCATCACACAAGACTGTTTCCCTGCCATACTCCATCACACAAGACTGTTTCCCTGCCATACTCCATCACACAAGACTGTTTCCCTGCCATACTCCATCACACAAGACTGTTTCCCTGCCATACTCCATCACACAAGACTGTTTCCCTGCCATACTCCATCACACAAGACTGTTTCCCTGCCATACTCCATCACACAAGACTGTTTCCCTGCCATACTCCATCACACAAGACTGTTTCCCTGCCATACTCCATCACACAAGACTGTTTCCTGCCATCCCATCCACAGATGTTTCCGCATACTCCATCACACAAGACTGTTTCCCTGCCATACTCCATCACACAAGACTTTTTCCCTGCCATACTCCATCACACAAAACTGTTTCCCTGCCATACTCCATCACACAAGACTGTTTCCCTGCCATACTCCATCACACAAGACTGTTTCCCTGCCATACTCCATCACACAAAACTGTTTCCCTGCCATACTCCATCACACAAGACTTTTTCCCTGCCATACTCCATCACACAAAACTGTTTCCCTGCCATACTCCATCACGCAAGACTGTTTCCCTGCCATATTCCATCACACAAGACGGTTTCCCTGCCATACTCCATCACACAAGACTTTTTCCCTGCCATACTCCATCACACAAAACTGTTTCCCTGCCATACTCCATCACACAAGACTGTTTCCCTGCCATACTCCATCACACAACACTGTTTCCCTGCCGTACTCCATCACACAAGACTGTTTCCCTGCCATACTCCATCACACAAGACTTTTTCCCTGCCATACTCCATCACACAAAACTGTTTCCCTGCCATACTCCATCACACAAGACTGTTTCCCTGCCATACTCTATCACACAAGACTTTTTCCCTGCCATACTCCATCACACAAGACTGTTTTCCTGCCATACTCCACACAAGACTGTTTCCCTGCCATACTCTATCACACAAGACTTTTTCCCTGCCATACTCCATCACACAAGACTGTTTCCCTGCCATACTCCATCACACAAGACTGTTTCCCTGCTATACTCTATCACACAAGACTTTTTCCCTGCCATACTCCATCACACAAGACTGTTTCCCTGCCATACTCCATCACACAAGACTGTTTCCCTGCCATACTCCATCACACAAGACTGTTTCCCTGCCATACTCCATCACACAAGACTGTTTCTCTGCCATACTCCATCACACAAGACTGTTTCCCTGCCATACTCCATCACACAAGACTGTTTCCCTGCCATACTCCATCACACAAGACTTTTTCCCTGCCATACTCCATCACACAAGACTTTTTCCCTGCCATACTCCATCACACAAGACTGTTTTCCTGCCATACTCCATCACACAAGACTGTTTCCCTGCCATACTCCATCACACAAGACTGTTTCTCTGCCATACTCCATCACACAAGACTGTTTCCCTGCCATACTCCATCACACAAGACTGTTTCCCTGCCATACTCCATCACACAAGACTGTTTCCCTGCCATACTCCATCACAAGATGTTTCCACACATGCTATCAAAAACTGTCTTGGCTGAGCAAGTCTTCTCACTGACAAGTGCCACACTGACAAGTGCCACACTGGCAAACGCCACACTGACAAGTACCACACTTGTCAGCAACTCTGCCACCAAGACGGAGGTTTTTAATAACTAATTATAACGCTAAATTATAGACTAGACACACCACTAACTTCAAGGTTTCTGCATAATTATTTTCAGGGAAAACAAGTTTTTTTATAACTGCCCTATTTACAGTAATGTTTGTGTTATTGTTTGTTAGTTCCAGTGGCGTCACTGTCCTCAGTGGGTATGATGCACCGCTACAGTTTAGGGGAGGAACGGATGCTTAACGCAGAAAATCTGGAAGGCCTGAAAATGTTGCTTAAGGGCAGGCAATCTTCAGGATGTGTGCATGTCTAAAGAAGAATGAATACTTCCTTGGATCAAGAGCCCTTCAGCAGCATTGTCATATCACGGACGAGAAGGACAGAACCTTTTAACCTCAGTATGGTAAGTAATTAGTAATAAGTTAAGACGGTAAGAATATGATAATGGTATATAATACCAACAAGTTAATAAGTAAGATACATGCGCAACAATGAGGTATCTTTATTCCGAAGATTTTCGCCTACACAGTAGGCTTCTTCAATAGAATACTGAGGAGGCAGTAGAACAGTAGTGATGTAAAGACGATATAATCAGTGTACCACCCTCGAAGACGTAGTTTTGGGGTGGTCAGTCTCTCAGCCTGGAGGGACTGACCAACTCCAGATTATGTTTTTAGTTATCCATTCAACATTATCTGTCTATATATATATATATATATATATATATATATATATATATATATATATATATATATATATATATATAATATATATATATATATATATATATATGTCGTGCCGAATATGTAAAACTGGTCAATTAGCAAGAACTCTTTTAAAATTAAGTCCTTTCTGAAATTTTCTTTTATACGTACGTTTAAAGATATATTTTTTTCATTAATGTTAATGTAAAAATTTTTAATTTTGCACCAAAAGAATCTTAGAAAACTTACCTAACCTTATTATAACAAGAGCAATTTATTTTAGCCTAACCCAACTAAATATATTTTAAATACGTTTACAATAATTTAATACTAAACAAACATAATCAAATATATTTTTTTTCGTTAGGTTCAGAATGATTTTGGCGAAATTATTGCATACACAAATTTTCACTTGTTCTATATGGCAAGATGAGCGTTGCTGTTTAAGCCAAGATCGCAAGTTCTGCCTATTCGGCACGACATATATATATATATATATATATATATATATATATATATATATATATATATATATATATATATATATATATATATATATATATATATATATATATATATATATCATTTACCAAACTGCGGCAGGCCAGGACTCGACCCTACGAACCTTGTACTGCCTCCTGAGACAGCACAATGCATGCATCACTGTCTCAGGAGGCAGTACAAGGTTCGTAGGGTCGAGTCCTGGCCTGC